TATTTTACTTTGGGTATTGCTCAACTGCAATACATCAACAGGGAATAACAGATTATGTAAATTCCAACATGAGAATATGACTACATATATGCAGCATAAATTATTCTCATTATAACGTTATATTTCCAAGAAAGAGAGCAAACATGCATTATTATACATTTTAAATATATATTTAGATATGTATTGCAAATAAATTGCTAACTTATAAATTATAAACTTGTGCATGTGATTGATTCTGGAGAACATGATAATGCCAAATATGCATGTTATTCAAAACACACTTCTGCGCACTTTATTTTAGATACCTATGGTTCTGGATTCACTCAGAAAAAGTGCATATAGTCATGCCTGAGACAACCAAAAACATTTGTCTATAGACCACCACAAGTCAACAAATTACATGTGTATATGGTCCTACACAAGTCAACAGAAATGTATGTCATTATGCAGTTCCATGCAGGTCGTGCAAGACTTATAAATACATCACATGTGCATATGGTCCTGCACAAATCAAGAAAACATGAGTGCATATGGTCCTGCACAGGTCAGCAAAACAGATCACATGTGTATATGGTCCTACACAATCAACAAAAATGTATGTCATTATTCACTACCATGCAGGTCCTGCCCAAATCAATAAACACAAGTGCATATGGTCCTGCACAATTCAACATGTTACATGTGTATATGGTCCTACACAAGTCAACAAAGTTTCATGTCATTATGTACTACCATGCAGGTCTTGCACAAATCAACAAGCACAAGTGCATTATTGTGCATATGGTCCTGCACAATCAAATAAAATACATGTGTATATGGTCCTACACTAATCAACAAACACAGGTGCATTACTGTGCATATGGTCCTGCACAATCCAATAAAATACATGTGTATATGGTCCTACACAAGTCAACAAACACAAGTGCATCTGGTCCTGCACATTTTGTCCCTGCACAGTTCAACAAAATTCATGTGTATATGGTCCTACACAAGTCACCAAAATATGTGTGCATAGGGACCTGCATGAGTCAACAACTTGCATACATGTGCATATATTGTCCTGCACAAGACAGCAAAAACAAAATACATGTGCATATGGTCCTGCACAAGTGATTAAGTCAAGAAAATTCCTGTGCATATGGCTGTGTACAAGTCAACAAAACAAAATGTATGTGAATTTGGCATAATTATGTATGGTTCTGCATGAGTCGACAAAATACATGTGAATATGATTCTGCACAGATCAACAAAAGGCATGTGCATATAATCTTTCATGAGTCAAAAGGTAATACATGTGCACATGGTCTTGTACAAGTCAACAAAATACACATGCATATTGGTCTGCACATGTCCACAAAATATGTGTATATGTTCCTACAAGAGTCAACCAAATAAATGTGCATGTGTCAGTGAAATAAATGTGAATATGGTCCTTCACAATCATAAAATACAACATAACATGTAAATCAGTGGTGGGTTTGCATGGTAAACATAAGTAGTGTATGTGGACCTCACTTCTACACTAATTTTCAGTAAAAGGTCACCTCAAACTATGGTGTGCACCCTTAGCAACATTACTATATCAGCATTAAATTATGTTAATCATTCTACATATATACAAGCTGTGCCTATGACCAGCACAGTTTATTTGATAAATGTGTATGTGGTCCCACGTACACTATGTCTTGATTCAACAATTGAAAATTTGAATCATACATAATAAGATTTGTGTACCCATATAATGGCAATATTTTACCAACATCACATAGGCAACTAACTCCAAACAAAATTTTTGGCTCCGTGAACAACATATAAGTAAGCTTGAGTAAGATCATTCATTGTTCAAACTCTTAAAAGGAAAAGCAGGATTTGTTACCAAGTATGATACCTGTATTGGTAAAAATATTGCAAAATTATATAAGGAACCAAAAAACTTGAGCTAGCTAACTTAATTTTAATGGATAACACATGACTTCATCAGAAGTACTATACTATACTGGACTGTTTTATACAGGGAATGCCGGAGTGTTAAGTGAATACTACATCAGCATCAATGGAGATCTCATAACTTGTAAAATGGTAACACTCGTCACTGCTGAGCTGTTTATATTCTCTCATCAATATCTGGTTTGTGTAGATGATTCTGACATTCAAGTCCGTAATTAGGCAAAAGTTCTTAAAGGAATGAAGTTTCCGGTGTGATTGATAAAATCTCCAGGCTTGATCATGGTGTTAGGATTAACGATGTAGGTGAATCACTGACGGCCAGTCTATACACTGTCAGGTCTATAATGTAATTGAATATTATTGTTTACAGCAGAGAACTACAGCGAAGGGTCCCTATGTTTACAGCTGACATAGTTCTTGTAAGAGTTTTCGGGATCTCGAGCCCGACATTATTTACTACATATTTTACACCACTGTAGATACACTGACACTGTTTATCGATCGTTTACCAAATTTACTTCAATTGACCATATTATTCCCCAGACGACTCGTAGTAATAGAATATCCATGTAAAAATCACATGTAAATTATTTTGGTCGTCCTGAGTTGTGAACCTCTCAGCATGCTTAATGCCCGGATGTAACCTTTACAAGGCCGATTTCGTAACAAAAACTCACTTTACAGGCGTTTTTCTGTAAATAACAAGCAGATCACATCCTCCGAAATCTTCAAAATGGTATCACAACAAAAGCTGTAGGATTTTCTGTGGGAAATATGGTATAAATTCGAAAAATTCAGCAGTTCAATAAACCATGCTTTCTCTTTTGGTAAACGGATCAATAATGATCACGTGATGGATAAGAGCTTTGCTGATTGGTTGAACCCATATTTAGATGTAGGAAAAGGGGTAAAATTAGTTCAATAAAAAGAACCGAATAGCTGCCTAGTATAGAGCTATGTACAATACAGACACTGTTATATAATAACATAATAAAACAAGAACATGTCACATAAATGAAATTATTTGCAATAATTACTATTTTCAGAAACATGTACAGTAAAACTTGTTTATCCGCACAGCACTGATTCCAAAGAAACTTTCTAGGTTAAAGAACATTTCGGCATAGACAACATTTTAAACAAAACAATTTTCTAATTAAGAGATATTACAGAGTAGACAATATCCAGATTAAAAAGGTTTCAATGGAGAGTATTCCTGTTCAAATTTTTTCCAGCATTTTTATTATAAATCATATTCAAAACAAAAAAAATATGCAACAAGGCAATTTCAATTATAGTCATAATTTGGTGTCAAATGTATGATTTATCCTTACCTTTGGAAAATCTTTGTAATCAGAACAGATATGATAGGTCACTTCTATTTGTTTGCTTTATAAAAACAATAGATTAACCTTATCATCTTTTAGATGAGATAATCTATCTAAACGAAACCTTTTGCAAAAAATATGACTTCGTACATCAAAAATATTTTTTCATAGATGAGATATGACGACGGAATAAATTTCCATTTTCAACGCAATAAAATTAGCTTCATTTACTCATCCAGAAAGTAAACTTTGAACTATAATTATTGTTTACATATTTTTTGTGTATTAAGATTTCTACAAATATTTAAGACACAGTATTTAGTTTTCAATTTTTATCTCGTTGGGTTTATTTTTCCTTTCTTCCTTGTTTTATGTCTGGATATTTTACTAACTATAAATGGCAAAGACCAACTAACAAGTAAACTGTACTGTATTTATTGAGATGACCAGCTTTTCCCCCAGTCAAGTATTTTTATTTATGTAGCAACATTCTATGACCTCTTTCATTGATTTCTTATTTTTCCCTATTGCTTTGCGCAATTTAAAAGAGCCTACTCATTATTTGATAAATTTTAAGGACAAGACTGGCTTCCCACATACGAATTTCAAAAACATTGATAAAATTCGACATTTGATAAATTCTATGGTGGATATAATGACCTTATTAAGAAATATAATCAGATATAGGGTCACTTTTTGGCTGACTTCATACCAATTGCACGCCTTTGTTTCTGTAACTAATTTGACTCCGTTATTTCCCTATCATGACAAGGAACACAAGGCGGTGTGACCGATCAGCAGGGGATGCTCACTCCTCCATGGCACCTGATCCCATCTCTGATGTTTTAGAGGTCCATGTTTGCTCTGCTCCTATTTTGTATTGTTTTATGGACTTTGAGATTGAATACTGTTCGTTATCTCTATATCCTTCAGTATGGTTTAACTACTAGATCAATAGATACGGTTCAGGACGGATGTGATTTGTCAACAGAGGATGCTTTCGTCTCCTAAGCACCTTTTCCTATCTCTGGCATTTACGGACACCAGTGTTAATACCCTGTTATCAGTAGCCTATTGCTTGTAGTTTTATGATATTGATCGCTACTTGTTACTATCACCTCTTTATTTGCCATGTCTTATGAATGTAAAAACTATACTGCTGCTGACAGTAAAAGGTATATCAAAAATACAAGAAATTGACATACTCAAAATTAAAAAAAAAATAGTGAAGCCTTCATGTTGCTTGTTTTTTTTACTGCAAATCTTAGCCGAAGATGAAAGATCCGATAGAATTATCTTTTTGATATCCTTTTCCTCTTTACATGAATGGATGTTTGCAGGAAAAAGTATAGTGGAGATCTGGATTTGCTTAAATTATCAGTTTGAGTTCAGGATCACTTTGCAGAAATATAATCTTACATAAATGTACTTAGATTTTTTTTTAAAAAATCTTCATCAGTATGAACACCTTGCTCATTACGTACATTTTATGATATTCATAGCTGATTATATAGGGGAATGAAATATTTTTTAATATTGAGATAAATCTGTGTTGTACAAAGAGCCCACTTTCAGCTTTTTAAATCCATTTTATTGATTTCAATGTTTAAAGTGATACAGTGTTACAATGCTGTTTTATAGAAAAGCAAGCGTGAATCTATTCAAATATGTAACATACTACATAAGTGAAGTAATTTAATGTTTATTATGATGAATATGATTTTTTCAAAGATCTGTACTCTCTTTGAAATTAAACGCGATTCCCTGAAAATAAAAAAAAGTGTCTGTTAATTAATAACTTTCTCCGATATTCAATAAAAGAAATACTAAAAATAAAACAATTAGATTATGCATTACAAATTCTTTATTGTATAATTATGCTGTAATAAAACAAGCGAAAGATACCTTGACAAGGTCCTCATTTATGTGTTCAGTTCTGTTATCTTCTTTAATCTGGAATGAATCAATAGAATTAATTATGTTAACCATTCATAACAGTAATGTAATTGGATATTTTTTTTTAAAAGTAATATATTAAAGTTAAAAGAATTCTAACACGATATAGATACAGACTTACGCTTGATTCATAAGATGAATCTCTGATATAGGAGGACCGAGTATTATCACTCTCCAGTGTGAAGAGTTTACTTCGGGACCTCTCGGTTTTACTCTTACATAATTTCCGAATGAAAGCTTTCCTAATCTAAAATTAAGTTAACAAATTGATAATCATCTACAAACAAACTCTTATAAGACATTTGTCTAAGTATGAAATGATGGGTACATGTAGCTGTCTTACTTCTTTATAGTTAATCATTAAAAAAATAAAGATAAAATAACTTTTATTTTTTCTTTCTATATGGTTTTTTAATGGAGAGATAATCTCTTTAAGAATAAATATTTTAATTATTTTTTTTATTTACCTTTTTGTTCAAAAGACACTTTGAAATGAAAATGAAAAATCCCTAATAAAAAGAAATACATAATTATGCATTAGTATTTTTTGAGCTTGTATTTTTTTAATGTGGTTTAAAAAAATTTAAAAGTGATTTTTATAATTCGAACCAAAGTAAGTACCAATAAATACCTGAAAAGAATTCAAGATAGCAAATATATATTCAAAAACAATGACGTCATCGCTGATGGACAAAAAGCCAAAGACCCAAGTCACTCCAAGCACGGGTAAGAGGATGGAAATCGACTTAATACCTGATCTAAAATTGTTTGACACAATAAAAAGATTACTCTAGGTTCTCAAATTGAAACATGAATCACAATAAAATTCTTTCAGTATAAGGACGTTTATTATAGATTCAATATTCATTTGTGTTTAAGAAATATTGAAAAGAACTTATAATTTGAAATGCTTTTTGTGATTAATTTTCAATTTTTTCAAGTTTCAATAAATCTGGGAGATTACGTACAGAGCCCGTTTCTTTGTTGTGCTATTAGATGCCATCTTGGAAGAACACAGTGTCGCACATAAACTTATTACAATCAAAATATTAATCTGAATTTTCAAAAAAAAATCGGTAAATTATTGTATGAGATTATATGCACTTAACATTATGATAATTATGCTAGATACTGAATACTGTAAACCTACTTTAATATATGATATACATGTATACTTTCTTTTGCGATTTTAATGGATAGTTTGCACATTTCTTCATAAATGTTCTAAAAAAGCTGTTCATTTTTCTTTCAAAAGAAGGAAAAACTAGCCAAGGAAAGCTGGATAACAGTATTTAGAAAATTATTTAATCAAATAAAATATACAGAAATAAAATAAGATTCAAAGATAATATTCTTAAAACTTTGGTCGGCCATTTTGGCCCCGCCCTACCCCGGGGGGTCATGGTTTGATCTACAAGAATAATAAGAGCTACGGGTCCTATGAAACCATATAATGCTCCACTTTCAAATGATAACCAACAACTGCAAATAACAGCAGAAGCAAGAATAGCCAATGTGATTGAAAATAAAAATACATGATGTTCAATGATTTTAAAAAAAAGCAATTTAAATTAAAATTATACAAAACCTATTTTTTGCAGTCCCATTGAAGTCTACTCTATAGAATGCATAATTATAACAAAAGTTTTATGCTTGACTTTTCCGATTTATTAGTGTAGCATAAATATAAAAGATATTCCTTGCCTTAACATACCCGGAGGTCAGGAATATATTATTCCGAATGTTACAGCAGTGATCAACACAGGCATTACTGAAAATATAAAAAAAAAATCATTCAAGATCTTAGTTTGTGTGTTAAGATAAACTTTCGATCCTTTATTTTAATGAAAACTTTAGAAATTCAAATATTTTGAGATTGATTTTTTTTAAGACATAAAAGTTTCACTTACCAAACACAATACCCCATATAATTTTACTGAAGGTGTTTTCGTCACTTTTCAATTTGGTTGCTTTGGAGAACGATATTTTAATTAATGAGACGCTGACGAAATAATACATCCCCAGAGCCAACATCAGGAAAAATATACTCAGGAACAAGCACTGTAAAACGGCCGTTATCACAGTACACCCAACCTGTAGTAAATATATAGTTAATGTTTAACTCAATTACAAATTCTGATTTCTACTGTTTTCAAAAGAGACATAATTATGTAATCAAAGTATTATATATTTTATTAAAATGTTAAAAATGGTTTTTGAAACAGTAAACGTGGCAATTCGTGTGAAGTTTGGGATCCTTGACCTTGTATTGGGTTTTATCGATCCCTCCTAGAAACGCAGCATAAGATGCAGCAATACTTAAACAAAGTAGAACGGTTATTTTATCAATCATCCGGCTGATTTCTGAGGTGATGGACCTAATAATTAAATGAATAGATTTGATAAAGAAGTTAAGGGATATGAAGGTAAATTTAATAAATATCAAACATAATTCCCCTGAAAGAACGTACTTCCATAAAACAAGGTAAACAATGGCTGTCAGAAAGGAAAAGAAAACAGATACCGAGCACCCAATGAGAGATATCCAATTCAAAGCCTCTTCTTCATCGTGCAACTGTGAACAAAAGAACGAAAATAAACACCGTAAATTATCGTGTTTAATCACTATATATATTTACCAGACAAAGGATAATAATTTAAGTCAGGTTTGAGGTAATGAAGTAAAAAACACCTTAACGTAAGGTCGAACCAGAACTGCAAAATTGGTCAAATGGTCGCATTCACATTGTGTGTAAAGATCATTTGTATTATGTGTTCTGCACCCCCTTGTTGACCATCCGCCATCTCCGTCACTGTAACCAAATCAGTTCCCAAACATTTTTTTTGTTTAAAAGTTTTAAACTCAGAAACTCATATGTTTCTTGTTTAAATGACTATAGCAGCAGTAATTTGAGAATAGTTTCACTTACTTGCTTTTAAAATCCCAAAATGCACATTCACTTACAGAGTTAGGAAGATTCTATGATAGGTAATGAAACAAAAAAAAATAAATATACTAAATCCATTCTATTTTAAATATTTTAGTTCATTAGAAATGCTTCTTCCTGAAATCACTTACTTTCTTAAACATTTTCAGTTGTAGAGACGGGTTAAGTAATTCTTTGTGTAAATTTATTTTCAAAGTTAGTGCCATAATGTCAGATACTACTTTGTAGTTCGAAGTACTGTTCTTTCTGTAATTAAAGGAAATGAAAAAGTAATGAATGTTTAATAATTATTTGAGTTCAGAGGAAATACATATTCAAGATACTTTTCCTATGGTTTACATTAAATTCGTACCTTTTATTTCCATTCATAATATTTCCTATGGTTTTGTATTTTACCGCCAAATATGGAATGCCTATTGTTTTAATTGAAAAAAAGTATATAGTTTATAAATATTCTAAATTAGTCGTTTGAACATATTCCAATTAATTTTAATACTTATACAATCTTTTAATTAATATTCTTGACTTTAACGAGGACAAAATCCAAATTACTTTCTTTTGAGCTTTGTAATTGCGCAGGTAATACTAAGGATGAACTTGTGTTCTCGTTATTTGGAAAGATGACATCATCTTCTGCTGGTATTTTTGCGACAGTCAGTACTGAAAATAAAAGTTATTTATACTTATTTGATCGTATTAAAACACATAGGTAATAAAGCAATTTAATTTATTCACAGAAAATGACTTCTGAAATCTCTTAATTAGTCAATGTTGGTGTCATGTGAATAAATAACAAAGAATGCTCCAAAAATTAATTCAATAATACATACATATCTAATATTTCACTAAGAAATGAAAAAAAAAGTTACCCATATTTTTCGTGGAGTTGAACGTAATGCTTTCATTCTGTTTCACATTCTCCAAGATATGGAGCCCGAATTTATCAACTGTCTTCAAAATTTTACTCATTCTTCCATTTGTCTGCTCATTTCAAATTAACATTGAATATATATATCGTCACTATTTAATACCTAACAAATACATTATGAAATAATATATAGAAAAGTATTTATTGCATAATACCTTGCTTTTGGAACTGTCTTTCCAAACTGTGGTGTGATTTTCTTCCAGAAGGTTATCTATAGTAGTCACAACAACCTATTTATGACATAATTCAACCCTGTTAGAATTTTATTTGCACGATTATTTGAATAAATATATGCATAAAGATAAGTGTTCTGACTTTATAATCATACCGCTTTTGGTAAAGAGATGTTTGAAGACTGGGAGACATCTAATATTTTGTCCAGTAAATCTATAGAATTGTCTACATCTGCTGGGCTTGGCTCCGTGTTCAGAGAGAATTCTTGTAAAGAATTTAGGGTGTTATCAACTGCATGCTGTACTTCAGCCTGGGATAAGTTTCCTTGTAGAAGGGAATCCACCTTCATATGAAGGTCGAGAATTAGTTTTTACCTTTTTAAACGAAAAGACAGCGTTATAGAAACTCAGTCTCTTTGTTTTAGGCAAGTAATACATACCGTCAACTTGATATTTTCAATGTTACGATCACAGTCATTGGGTGTGTTCTGATCATGACCTTGCTCGCCACAATACTTAGAGGTTGCTATGGTATATGAAAAAAAAGATTGAGAAACATCTTTTAAGTAAACAGTCAATAGCGGAATCATGTACATATATATTTTGTATTATATTGTTCCCGTTAAATAATATATGGAAATTTGTTTAACAAAACAAACTTTTGAAAACTCTCTAGAGTATAAAAACCTTTGCAACCATTGCCAACCAAAATAAAATAACAATTTGTTCTTGTTATAATTTCAGGGCTCTTTTCTATGTTATTTTATCACATTTTATCTAATAATTGTTTTTACTTTTTATGTGTATGACTTTTCAAAATTCAATGAAAATGTTTTTCTACTTATGGATACTTTGTTTCTATAGTACGGTTCGAAATAGTCGATTTACCAAACATATTTATCATGCATTTAAGGCCTTAAACTTTAGAAAGCAATCATTGCTAATTGTTTGCATTAACTATAGTTAACTATAGTAAACTATAGCTAACTATAGTATTTTTTGTTAGGGAGGAGGTGAAATTGATAATTTTAAACTGGAATATGATCGAGTAAAATTGGTTGCTAAATCTTAGATCCAATCTACGAAATGAATTACCCCATATAATTAAGTGAAGGGTCAATAACGAACAAAATAAGTAATTTATTTATCATCTCCAAGTGATATGTTGCAAACCAGAATAAGAGCTAACTTACGCATTTCCAAAAATAACGGTCTTCTAACTATCATATCATACTTACCTCGTTCACAAAGGTTACCCGTGAATCCGGGGAGACATGCACACTGGAACTGGTTTATCCCATCAATACATGAGCCGTTATTGTGGCAGGGGCTACCCGAACACTCGTCAATATCTATTGAACCAAACAAAGGAAGACTTAAGGATGAGGTTTACTCAGGATTCAGAAATCAGAAAAGAAATTTTATAAAGTGTAATATGTTAAATCAAATATTGTTCTAATTAGTTAAAAAAAGTTTTATCTCAATATCAATAAAAAAATTACATTTTATTATTTGAAGAAAATATACAGGAACAAAAGTCAATGTGTGTTATTGCAGAGAAAATTCAGACTAAATTTTTATTTATTGCAGTATAAATGACAAAGTAAAGGTTACATGTATTTTTAACTCACCTGAGCCGAAGGCTCAAGTGAGCTTTTTTGATCAAAATTTGTCCGTCGTCTCTCGTTGTTGTCGTTGTCATTGTCGTTGTTGTCTTTGTCGTCGTCGTAAACTTTTCACATATTTATCTTCTTCTAAAGATCCGCTGGGCCAATTTCAACCAAACTTGCCACAAAGTACCCTTGGGTAAAGGGGAACTAAGTTTGTACAAATGAAGGACCAAGCTCTTTTCCAAGGGGAAATAATGATGAATTAATGAAAAATTCATGATATCTTTTAAAAATCTTCTTCTCCAGAACCATTGGGCCAGGAAAAAGATGAAACTCATGTGAAAGCATCATCAGGTAGTGTAGATTCAAGTTTGTTCACATCAGGGTTGGGCCAAAATGGCTGATCAAAATTTTACATAGAAATATATAGGAAAAATCTTGAAAAATCTTCTTCTCCAGAACCATTGGGCCTTGAAAGATGAAACTCATGTGGAAGCATCCTTAGGTACTGTAGATTCAACGTTGTTCAAATCAACCCCCAGGGGTAGAGCGGGACCACAATGGCTGATCAAAGTTTTGCATATGAATATATAGGAAAAATCTTTAAAAATCTTCTTCTCCAGAACCACTGGGCCTGGAAAGATGAAACTCATGTGGAAGCATCCTCAAGTAGTGTAGATTCAAGTTTGCACAAACCATGGCCCACCCGAGGGTAGGGCGAGGCCTAAATGGCTGATCAAATTTTACATAGGAACACATAGGAAAATCATTTTAAAATCTTCTTCTCAAGATCAGCAAAGCTATGATTGGTGATATCAATATGCATGGAAACATCCTCAGTTAGAGTTAATTCAATTTTGTTCATATCATGACCCCTAGGGGTACGGTGTGCCCATAACTGGCAATTAAATCTTTACATAGAAATATTTCGGAAAAATCTTTTAAACTCTTCTTCTCAAGTATGGCAAAATTATACATGTATGTTTTATTGATATAGTGACATTCTCAAGTAAAAAAAATTTGAATCACTTCCACCCCAACAAGTAAACTTTTCAATACTGAGCTGATTTGTGTTTTTTAACTAGCCCGGGTGCTCAGGTGAGCGGTGTTGCCCATGGGCCTCTTGTTAGACCTCATTTTGCAAATATTATATTTGTTAAAGCTCAGAAATTATTTCAAATAATTTAATGCTTTGAAATAAAGAAATTCAAAAATATGTACAAAAAACATTCCAGACAACATATCTCAATAATCTGATCATTGCACTCATATGATTTTAATACCATGAGAATTAGGGCAACAAAAGTAACCTGAGGCTATAAATAATTTAGATTTCTTATCAGTCAGATTTTTGAAAAATTCGATTAAAATGGGGGGGGGGGGAATAAATAGGACAGAGGAAATTCGGACAGTAATAATTACATGTATCACGTTTATGACCCAAACACTAATCGTTTCTTTATATGAAGCAACACTGTTCCATTGCGTTAACATTTCATTATCAAAAATGATCTGTTACTTATATTTTGTGAATGGAGAAAAAAAATTGTCATAGTGTGAAAAATTGGGGTATTTCCCAAGAACTGTTCAGGGGCCACTATCATGAAAAGTAGGTCATTGACCTAGTTATTTGAAATTGAAATTTAACACAAGAATCATGTGTACAATGTGCAGTAGGTGGTTTTATCAGTGGAATTTTTAGTCATATGAGTAAAGGTATACCTTAAGACTTCAAAAGAACATATATGAACTCAGCAAAAAAAAAAACCTGGCAAATATCTAATTATATAAATATGAATTTCGAATCACAAAGAAACGATTGATACAGGAAAATAGAATATGCTGCATCAGTAAACGCCCTATTAATATGGTAGATCCGTTTGTTATTATCAGGTTACCAGAATAAACAGTTGTTGCATGTCTTATGCTCTCTATGTTACATTTTTGCTTAATGGCCGAGGTTTTCAACCGTACGGTTTTCCTCAGGTAAGTTTGGTGTGGGGTGGAGCTTAATCGAAGCGGCTGAGAGGCCCCGAGGGAACCACGTTGACTTGTGTATACGAGGGTTGTTCGATATGTATTGTGTATTGTACCACAGCGCGATAACGCCTTGCACGATTTCATCGATTTTATACGCCTGGATAACTCTATTCAATACCTTGCCAACAGTATAAACACGAGCCTTCATCTACACATGGTTATAAAATAATCGTCATTTCAATAGAGCCAGTCGTTGACCACTGTTGTAAAAATGGTTGGGAAAAGGGTTGAGAATATTGAAGAAATTAGAGCTTATATAAAAGTTCGCACAAAACTCGTTAATTCGGTAAAGCAGATTTTTACTGAATTGGGGGAAGTTTATGGGTCTGATAAGGTATCTTATGAGACAGTTCGTAGGTGGAGACAGAAATTTCTGACTGGCACAGAGTCCGTCAAAGATGCAGCAAAATCGGGTCGACCTGTGACTGTATCAGGCAAGACAAATGTCTCAAAAGTCAAGGAAATAATTGAAAGTGATGGCAGGTACACGATTCGTGATATTACCAAAGCTGTTGGCATATCGCTATCTCGGGTGCATTTCATTTTGAAGCGTATTTGGAAAGTACGAAAGATTTCTGCCAGATGAATACCCCATATATTGACAGATGACCAAAAAAAGGTACGAATACAAACCGCTAAGCGACTGCTAAAAATGTTTCCAAACTTCAATCAAAGACAATTTGCAAACATAGTTACTGGTGACGAAACATGGGTTCACTATTTCGAACCAGTAATAAAAGTTGGAACAAATTATGGCTAACCAAACACGGTAGAAGGCCTGTAGTTGCCAAAAGGACAATGAGCACAAAGAAGCTTTATTGCCGGTGCCGAAGGGCAAAAGTGTTACAGGTCGGTATTACCGAGATGTTGTACTGAAAAAGCTCAAGAAATGTTATCAGAAACGACGTCCTATGTCGGGATTTAGGCATGTTCGCCTTCTTCATGATAATGCTCCATCACATACATCTGAGCTTGTGAAGCAATTTTTGAAGTCTGAGAAGGTTACCGTCTTGCCACACCCACCATACTCTCCGGATCTAGCACCATGCGACTTTTTCCTTTTTCCAAAACTTAAAAAGTTCTTATCTGGTCGTCGATACAAGTCCCGACAGGCCCTTGGCTCAGCCGTCAGTCAGTGCCTCAGAGTTATACATAAATTAGCGTACCGTGACGCATTTCAGAAATGGATTCAGAGATTAAAAAATATGTATTTCAAATAACGGAGAATAATTTGAAGGGATGTAATGTCCATTTGACTATTTGAATTGAATGCTTTTGAGATATCGTTAATACACAATACATATCGAACAACCCTCGTACTACCTATATACACAGGATGTTATTTGAGTGTATTACCTGTATGCGTTTTCCTACGACATTTTAAAACGAAGTCGTTTTTTTCCATGTGTAGCTCAGTTGAAATGCATGAAATAATGCATGTTTTTTGAGGACATAATCCTTCTCAAATTCTTTCTTTTAAAATTAATGTTTCGACAATTTCAATACACTGCGTGTTTGTTAATCAAATGTTATAGCGAAAATACACGTAGCACAAAAATCTGTCGTTATATTCTGGCGACAAAAAGGGAAGTAATTCAAATTACACTTGTGTACGCAAAACGAAAAGAGAAAGTGGGTCATAATTAGGTATCTCGGTAAATAACAATTAAACTTAGAACCGATGTTTTTAGAATAAATTGTTCAGAAATATAATCGTCTAAATCAATTTTTTTAAAGATAAACCCTACGTGATTTACCATAACGCATGGTCTGTAAAAATGGCCAGGGGTAGGGTCCGGAGATGATTCCCTGACAGTTAGGCCTATGGGTGAATGGAATCATCAGCATCATGCATTTTTCTTTCGGGATTCATAATTTCAAATATTAATTAAATGTAAAGCAAGATGCTATTATAATCTCTTCTAAAACTGGTTAAATATAACGTAACTTCGTCACCATGTCTCGAAGAATTAGCGACATGTACAAATCTGTCTTATAAATAAATATAAATTTCACTTGACTACTTAACAATGTAAACAGTTACAATGTTGCCATCCTTGTTTTAAAAAATAATTTTATTTAGTTCCATGATACTAGCTTCAAACGCGGGTCGGTTTATTTTGTTAATTATGGAGGAATAAATATGCGTTAATCCATGCTTTGAGAAATTAAAATGATCGATTGTAATTGTGAATGAAATGAAATCCCCCCTATCAAAATTGAAATTATAAAATATAGGCATTATTTTTTTATCATTTATTCAATTATTTGATGGATTAATTATACTTATGTCATATTCTTATGAATCAAACAAGAACGCTTTGCCTGCTTCTTTATCAAGTTGGCATATGCGGTAGGCATCAAAAGCCTGAATGTTAATTCGATGGTCGGTTCGATCTCCAGACAAGGTACGCAAGATATACACTACGGCAGCAAACTAAAAGTCAATCAAATCAACGTATCCAATCCCAGGCTTAATTTCAGATGATTGACAGGGGTTCTAAGACCAGGTAAATTTGAGGAAGGTGCTTATTTCCTCCCCTTTTAAGAAATCGACAGTTTACAAATGCATTAAGAGGGCTGTTTGGAAATTATTGGGACATAGTTTATATTTTTCTTTCTAATGAACGTCTTTCACAGAAATTCACAGAAAAACACATACACGTTTGACAAGCACTGAGAATTAATAGAAGCTAGAAGAA